GCAGGGAGAGGGTGACTGACATCTCCGCTGGGAAAGGCCTGGGGAGGCCAGTAAAGACCAACCGTGCTCACCGCAGGCCTCAGAGGTCAGCGAGGCCACAGAGAGCAGAGCACACAGCTGGGCGAGGCGTTCTGGCAGCGCCCACCGCGCTCTCGGTTGCCCTTTGCCGGTTCTGGGACGTGGCAAAGGCTGGTGTCCCGGGTTGGGCCCTGGCCGAAGGCTCTGCCCTGGAGAGAAACTCGCCCAGCACCCGGTGGTTGCTCAGGGCTGCAGCGACAAAGTTAAACATTGAGGGAACTTAAACACAAGGTCAGCTTTTCTCCCTAAGATGTTGGTTGGATTCTGAAGTTCGCGGGGGCAAGGGGCAAAAACCTGAGCAAAACCCTGTGAGGAGCACAGCAAAGAGGAAATCCTCCCGAGGGACCAGGGAGTAGAGGCCCGTCGCCCTCACGTCCCAGTGGTGAGCCTGCGTCTGACGCTCCAGCCAGGACCGGCGATCCCGCTGCCTGGGGGCGGCCCCGGGGCCCATCGCTCGGGGCTGTGAGGCTGACCAGGTGGACAGTCCTTCCATGTTGATGAAGCCTAAACCACTCCCATGACCAACACCCATCACCTCTGAGTTCCTCCACTGTGTGTGCCAACCTCCTAACTCACGTGGCTTCCAGGCCAACACGGTCTCATTTTCTCAGCATCGTAACATCATTTACTGCTGAGGCCCACGTCCCCCCTGCAGTGTAACCGGAAAGCTACTCATAACCACCGTCTCCGTCTGATCTTTTTAAAAATATGCATTTTTTTTTAAGGTGAAGGGGGAGAGAGAGAGAAAGAGAGAGGGGGAGGGAGAAACATCAATGATGAGAGAGAATCATTGAATGGCTGCCTCCTGCACGCCCCACACTGGGGATCAAGCCCACAACCCGGGCCGGGAATCGAACCTGTAACCTCCCGGTTCATAAGTCTGGTTCACAGGTCGACACTCAACCACTGAGCCACGGTGGCTGGGCCTCTGTCTGACACCTCAATGGCATTTGAGGAGGAGGATGGGAAATCCGGGAAACCAACAGCTATGGTTCTTAAACCTCATCTTGAACCAAATGAGGTTCAAGCTTTAAAAATACACCCGTGTGTCGTCATTCTCTTTTGTGCAGATATTACGGGTTTCTGAAAGGAGTCACGGTTCTCATTGGAATGACAGGGGGGCTCATTTCGTCCACTCTGGCTGGGATAATCCTCAATCAGGTAAGAAACGGATCATACCGCCCGGGTGATCGGTACAGCCCGGCCGGGTGGCTCCGCGTTAACCACACTCGCAAGCCGCTCACAGAAACAGGGTCCTGTGAGAGGAGAGTCAGGAGGTCTCAGAACCAGACCCTCAGGAGCAGATGCTCAGAGACACCGGGAACGCACCTGAGGTTTAAAGACATAAAAGAGAGGATCGAAACTACAGACATGAAACATGAGATTTGACCAAGAAATATACAAAGGTCACCTCTGGCCATTACAAACGTTAACACTGAAGTTAGGAATTCAGACGAAATACGGCCAAACGGAGAACGAGGGCGGTGCCCAGAGCGGAGGGCAGACCCCGGAGTCTGTCTGGGTGGAGTGCTGGCCTCCCGCTCCTCCCTCCGCCCCGTCCAGCGTGGAGCCCGTCCTCGTGTTAGTGTTTTAAATGCCGCAGACACGGCGACGCGCCCGACCACGCGTCTCTATCTGCACTTTCATCCCGCAGGACCCGGAGGCCGCCTGGTCTGCCATCTTCTTCCTGGTGGCGGCCGTCAACGTGAGCAGCCTCCTCTTCTACCTGGTCTTCGCCGCGGCCGACGTGCAGGCCTGGGCCCAGGAGAAGCAGCTCACCCGGCTCTGAGGGCGCAGGGCGGGTGGCGGGCGGGTGTGAGCGGGCGGCTACCCTGTCTCCTGGGCTGTGACCACGTGGCTCTGGCTGTTCCGGGCGTTTCTTTGGTGGCAGCTGCGCCCGCCGTCTGCTGGGCGTTTGGACACGGTCTCGCCGGGGCTCTCAGCCCGCCTCCCGCGGTCCTGGCTTCCTCTCTCGCCCGGGTGAGCAGTTGTCCTCCGGCCCCCGATGCTCTCACCGGGACAACGGGAGGTGATTGGTTCCATGTCCACAACACGCCTGGAGCCACACGCGTGGGGTTTCCACCGAGCTGTTCTCCAGACTCTGCAGACGCCAGCGGGGTGTCCTCGGATGTCACTCAGACGCCGACTACCCAGAGGTCGTCCAGACCCCACGGTTCAGGGCTGGGTCCCCCGATGGCCCTGGCGTCAGACACCGACCGGAGTGGCGGTGCCCGAGGTCCCCACGCTTCTGTTGCTACCACGACCCACCCCTCGGTGTGACAATTTGCTAGAGTGACTCACAGAACATAGGAAACAGACGGCTCTCTAGCATCGTTTATTATAAAGGCTGTAACTCAGAAACGGCCCAATGGGAAGGTACACAGATGGGGGTGGGGAGACAGGCAGGGGCTCCGTGCCCTCCCCGGGGGCACCCCCTCCCCACACCTCCCTGGAGTCACCCACCCGGAAGTTCTCAGAGCCCGTCACTTGGGGTTCTTATAGAAATCTCATTGCGCAGGCGTGAGGGTTCAGGCATGGACCACTGATGAACACCCCCGGCTCCAGCCCTTCTCCCCTCCTGGAGGCTGGCCCCCGGCAGCAGCCCCCACCCCGAGGCTCGCGGGGCCCCGGCCGCAGTCCCCTCACCTTGAACCACAAAGACACTCATCGCCCCAGAAAGTCTAAGGGTCTTAGCAGCTCGTGTGACACCAACGAGGGACTCAGACCAAATAGGATAACAAACGAGGCTCCCATTTTCCCGGCACTCGGGACGCCACCACGAGGGCGGTAGGGTTCCTGTGCCAGGAACGGGGGGCAGAGACCAGCTACGCGTGATCATGTCCCAGCAACAGTGGGAAGAGTGAGCAACACACAGAGATCCAAACGCAGCCCCGGCCGCCTTGGCTCAGTGGGTAGAGCGTCGGCCTGTGGACTGAAGGGTCCTGGGTTCGATTCCCAGTCAGGGCACAAGCCCGGGTTGCGGGCTTGATCCCCTGTGGGGCGTGCAGGAGGCAGCCGATCAGTGATTCTCTCTCATCATTGATGTTTCTATCTCCCTCTCTCTTCCTCTCTGAAACCAACAAAAATATATTTTCTTGAAAAGAAATGCAGACACACCCACGCTTGCAGGAGCTCACACTTCAATCACTGCCGCCTCCTCCTCCCCGAACCCCAATAAACCTCCAGGCGGAGCCTTCAGGGTCCGAGAAGAGACTGGAAGCAAAGTCGGTTCAAGGAAAGCACCAAAGGGCAACGCCCGGCCACGGCTCACAGGCGGGTGAGGGTCTGCGCGCGGGCCCAGTCCTGCACCTCCGCTCGGCTGAAGACGAGGAAGAAGACCAGGCCCGAGACGTCCACGGCCGCGGACAGCAGGAAGATGTTTCTCCATCCCAGCTCGGCGTCCTGGAGACGAGCCACGGGTCACCACGGCCCCCAAGCGCGTCCCTCCTGTTCAGAGGGCGGTAGCTCCAGCCTCCCCTGCCACCTCCCAGCTCAGCTCTGGACTGTGGGGGAGCCCGGCCGAGCCTGGGACACGCAGGGACGTGTCCCCCCAACACACACCCCCAACGCACACCCACAAGACCCCAGAGAGCATTGACTCTCTCCCCTGCTTGCTTCCGCCCTCAGCTTAAATATCATTTTTTCCATGAGTCCTTCCTCGACCGCCCTATTTAAAATGGAAATCCAGCCCTCGTATTCATCTCCTATCGGTTCCTTTTCCAGAATAAAGGCTTCCCAGCGGCAGGCACTTCCACCTCGTTCCCGTAGTGCCTTGCGTGGCGCCTGCCCAGGGTCCATGCGTGTTTGCGGAAGGAATGAATGAACGAATGAATGAACGAATGACAGGGAGACCCTGTCAGCGTGAGGATGTCCATTCTAAACGACCATTTCCTGACGAGTGTCAGTCAGTGACGGAAAGGGAACTGAAGCTTCAAGTGACAAAGGACGTGATGGCGGACAGGACACGCCTCCTCCTCAGCCTCCATTTTCCTGACTTCCTGGTGGGAAATCACAGCGAACTGAAAAAATGACACTCACGTGGCCCGGCCGGTGCGGCCTGTGAACCAGGAGGTCACAGTTCGATTCCCCGTCAGGGCTCGATCCCCAGTGGGGGGCGTGCAGGAGGCAGCCGATCCACGATTCTCTCTCATCATTGATGCTTCTATCTCTCTCCCCCTCTCCCTTCCTCTCTGAGATCAATAAAAATATATATTAAAAAAGAGAAAGAACGACAAGCATGCGGATGCCACGTACATCTCCTCTGCCCACGGATTCCGAGGAAGCGCTCCGGCGTCCGGGGAAGCTGTCTGTCCTGGGAACTTGAACGCATCTCCCAGGACGGAGGCTGCTCCACGCCGCTGCCCCTCCCACTGTCCTTCGCTCAGCCTCGCTCGCTCATTCTGTCTGTGTTTGCTGGGTTCCTACGTGGGGTGACCAGCTCTTTCCCGGTTGCGGGGGACCTTCAAGGTGTGAGGATTGAACGTCCCGCGTCCCGGGAAGCCCTGCCCTCCCGAGCGGCCCGCGGCAGCCGGCCACTGTCTGCTGCACAGGAAGGTCCGCAGCGCGGCCACCAGATCTGAGGACGAGCGTGGAAGCTCATCTCCTCAGACCTCGTGAGGCATCAACGCAGGGAGTCCAGCATGCTCCTCTCTCCACCCGAATGCGAGGGCTGCGGGGGCGCTGAGCCGCCAGCTGAGCCACTGAGTCTGCCTCGGGCCACCAGATCTGAGGACGAGCGTGGAAGCTCATCTCCTCAGACCTCGTGAGGCATCAACGCAGGGAGTCGAGCATGCTCCTCCCTCCTCCGGAACGCGAGGGCTGCGGGGGCGCTGAGCCGCCAGCCGAGCCACGTGGCGGGGGAAACCCAAACGCCCTGAGTCTGACTCGGGGGACCTGGAGGTTCCGCTCGGGAATATTTTCACCAGGACCTTTGTCCTCACCTGACTGAGGAAAAATCCAGAAACCGTGGGAGCGATGACTCCTGAGAGCTGAACAAAGACCAAGGATAAGCCCTTGATAAAGCCGGTGTACCTGAGAGAGAACGAGAGAGAGAGAGAGAATCAGCAAAGGGTCATCTCAGCTGGTCTGCTGCGGTCCTGTGCTCAGCCCTGGGGTGGCCTGGGCTTGTGTTGACCCTTCGTCAAACCTGATTGAAACAGCCCGGCCGGCGTGGCTCAGTGGTTGAGCGCTGACCTATGAACCAGGAGGTCAGGGCTCAATTCCCAGTCAGGGCACAGGCCCAGATTTCAGGCTCCATTTCAGGGCTGTGTAGGCGGCAGCCGATCCATGATTCTCTCTCGTCATGGATGTCTCCACCTCTCTCTCCCTCCCTCTCCCTTCCTCTCTGTAGTCCATAAAAACATGTTTTTAAAAAACAGAACCCTGAGCGAAACGTACTGCCCGCAATGGCTGCCACCCTGTGCAGGGCCAGCGACACCCCCGGGGTAGCTGTGCTAACGGGGCAGTGCTGTTCATACAAAACAGACAGATGGCGTTTGACCTCGTGTATATCGCCTCTTGGCTTCTGCTATGAAGTCCGCCCTGGCAGCCTTGCTTGGGGGACACAAGACCCCTCACTGGATGACACGTGTCTCCCGCGTGTCCTGCTGGCCCACGTCTGAAGGAGTGTGTCCCGAGGACTATGAGTCTCTGTGGTCTCTGATACCCAGCTGTCCCGGAGGCGATGACCCTCGTGTGCCTGCCCTTTAGCCTTATCCTGCCCCACGTGAGCAAGCCCCGTGGCCCGAGGCCTCCTGACCGCCACGTCCCCCTCGGGGAACGATGGCTCCTTCCGGGCAGCATCTGGACGCAGGGCTGGGGCCGACATTTCCCCGGCCCCGTCCCACGTGTCACTCACACGCTGACCCACGGTCACGGAGGACCAGGCCCCCGGACCGAGGCTGAGCTGCGGTGGGGGAGGAGGGGCCCGGGGTCCTTACCTGGGAGCAATGTCTATGAAGTTGACAAGGGCCCCGGATTGGCAGAGGCTGCTGGTGGCCAAACTCAGGACCAAGAAGGCCATGGTGACGCCCAGGCTGAAGCTGACCCAGGGCAGGAGCACGGAGAACAGGCTGGGGAAGAGCACGCCTGGCGGGAGGCAGACGGAGAGCTGGGGAGCTGCCGAGCCCCCCCACCCCCCAACTCCCCACCCCGGCCACCGGCGTCCTTACCTATGGAGGTGAAGAGCCGCCTGACCACAAGGAGCGAGAGGATGTCTCTGGAGAGGAGGAAGTCTGCCAGCAGGCCCCCCAGGATGATGCTGATAAAGGCCACGCCAAGCAGCAGGGCGGACAGGAAGCCACTCTGCGGACCAGAGGGGAGTCAGTGCAGGTGCGGGCCCACCCCCGCAGGCCCGGCTCGTCCCCAGGGTGCCGTCCACACCCGGCTGCTCTTTCGATGCCCATCACCGTCATCACACACCCCACGCCACTGCAACGAGCCCACATCACTTCTCAGGGGAAATGTGCGTGTAGTTTGAACACAGGATGCGTGCTCTCTCCGTATAGAAAGTCGCCGGGAAACGGGGGCTTAAAGAACCAGCCCCGGCTGGGGGCTCGCCGGTTGGAGCATCGTCCTGGGCACCAAAAGGTTGTAGGTTTGCCTCCCGGTCAGAGCACATGCCCCCCAGTAGGGGACGTGCAGCCGACCCATGATTCCCTCTCATCATTGATGTCTCTCTCTCTCTCTCTCTCTCTCTCTCTCTCTCTCTCTCTCTCTCTCTCTCTCTCTCTCTCTCTCTCTCTCTCTCTCTCTCCCTCTCTGAAATCAATAGAAATATATATATATTTTTTAAAGGAAAAGGAGACCAATGGGATGGATTTAACAGGCACGTGGGCCAAGCTGTTTATTTTACCGACGAGTAAACCAAAGGCCATCACAGTGACCTGTCGTCGAGAGAAAACACCCTGAGATCCATGGGGCCCCGGGTCTGGGCCTCAAGTCTCTCTCCAGTCTTTCTCCCACCGCCTCCCCCTCACCCGGCCTCTGGGGGTGGGGACCCACCTGGCCTCGCCCCACACTCATCCTGATCCCCGACCTGTGGTTCCGGTTCCATCACCTGCTTCTGCCCTCACTCCCCCCCCTTCCCCCCTCCCTCTCCCTCTCCTCCCCTTCCTCCTCCTCCTTCCCTCCTCCTCCCTCTGGTTCCATCACCTGCTTCTGCCCTCACTCCCCCCCCCTCTTCCTCCCTCCCTCTCCCTCTCCTCCCCTTTCTCCTTCTCTCCCTCCTCCTCCCCCCTCCTCCTCTTCCTCAGGGAAGGCCCATAGCCACCCTCCCTTGGATTTCCTGATCCCAGCACCCACTGCCCGCAGGAACGTGTGTCCAGACTTGACCTCTGCTAAGGTCGCTGTTTGCTGGCCACTTAGCATGTGGTCACCAGAGGAGCCCAGCTCCATGAGCACACGGCTTTTTGAGCACAAACGGTGGGACTGTAGCAAGAATTCGGTGACCCTGTGAGCTGTCACCTGTGACATCTGATGAGCTCTTCACCTTTTACAACCCCCGCCTGGTTTACGACACCCGCCTGGCTTACGACACCTGCCTGGCTTACGACACCCGCCTGCTGGGACCTGAGAGGCTCCATCAGCCAGTCAGAGCACAGGTGCATTGTGGGAAGACTTGGCGCACTGGCGCCTGCGCTTGGGGGCACCTGTCTCCGTACCCATCGGGCTTGAACAAAAGGGTTTAAGTTTAAGTTATAGCGACTTTCTATACGGAGAGAGCACGCATCCAGTTTTCATTTTAAGGGTTTAAGTTTTAATCCTATTAATAACGCCCTGTTTTTAGCGCCTGTTGCCTGCGAGTCTGTCACAGCCTCCGGGGAGGCGCACTTTGTTTTGCTTCATCCTTTCTGCCGTCAGCAGAGTGTCCTGTTTGCAGATGTCGATTGGGTTGAACACAGAATATTTTCATAAATCCCTTAAAAAAGGTGACATCCTGCCAGGCCAGCGTGGCTCAGCGGTTCGATCCCCGGTCAGGGCACAGGCCCGGGCTGCACCTCCATCCCCAGTGCGGGGCGTGTAGGAGGCAGCCTATCCATGACTCTCTCTCATCGTTGATGTTTCTCTCTCTCCCTTCCTCTCTGAAATCAATAAAAATATGTATTTTTAAAAAACATGGCACCCTTTGAATGTCACGCTGACCTAGAACCATACCGTTCTGCCCCCCCAAAGCGGGAGGCCCCCTGAGATGAATCAGAATTCAAGAGGTTGCATCTTCTACCGGAAGGTCCCGGGCCCCGAGCCTGGTGACCCCGGGGGAGGCCAAGGTCACGTGACGAGGCCTTGAAACAGCAGAGGCGCATGCGCACTCGCACTCACCGCACGGAGGTCCACGTGGAGGACGGAGTGGAGGTAGGTGGGCAGGTACGCCATCAAGACGTAGAAGAACCAGTGCTCGCTGAACTGGGACAGCAAGGCGCTCCAGAGCGGCAGGGACTTGGCCATGGCCTTGATGGGGAGAGACCCGTCGGGCTCGCAGTCCTGGAAGAAAGCCGGTGCCGTGGGACCTCCGTGGAGACACGGTCCCCCCACGACCAGCCGCCGCCCAGGCCCGGGCAGGCACCTGCTGAGCCAGTGCGCGCGCGATGAGGTCCCGCTCCCCGGCGCTGATGAACGGGTGCGCCGCGGGGTCGTCGTAGGCGAGGGCGAACCAGAGGCAGGAACAGGCGCAGCCAATCGCACCTGCAAGGGGACGGGTAGGCTGGACCCGCTCTTTCCGCAGGACTCTGCCCGGAGGGGTGGGCCGAGGCTGGCCCAGCGCTCCTCCCAGGTCTGCGCCCCGCGGGGCCCCATCTTCGGTGGCGGCCACGTCCCCACCCTGGACTGCCGCCTGGGTGGTCTTCCTTGCTGCTGCCGATGGCGTGGGGCAGTTCGGAGTCTAGTGTCTGCCCCGCGAGCTCGAGAAGGCCCTCCCGGTTGGACTGCCGGTCAGCATGCCCCCTGCTAGTCAGGCTTCTGCAAAGGTTCTTGCCTCAGGGCCCGGCCAGTGGGGCTCAGTGGGTCGGCCCTTGTGCAGAGAGGTCGCTGGTTCGATTCCGGTCAAGGGCACATGCCGGGTTGTAGGCTTGATCCCCAGTAGGGGACACGCAGGAGGCAGCTGATGTTTCTCTCTTATCGTTTTATTTTCTATTTTTTTATTTGTGTGTGTGTGTGTTTCTCATCATTTTAAAAAAAATGTTTTTATTGATTTTAGAGGGAGAAGGGAGAAAGAAACATCGACGGGCTGCCTCCTACACTCCTCTTATGGGGGATCCAGCCCGCAGCCCTGGGCGTGTGCCCTGATTGGAATGGAACTAGCAACCTCTTGGTGCATGGCCGATGCTCAACCACTGAGCCACACCAGCTGGGCTCTCTCTCATCATTGATGTTTCTCTCCCTCTCCCTTCCTCTCTGAAATCAATAAAAATATATTTTTTAAAATAAAAATATAATTGCACCAAGACAGCGTTTTCAATATCTTACAAAAGAAACTCCTCTGGCATCCTTTGCGGTTCCCCTGGAGACAGGAGGGAATGTCACCGGTGTTCCAGCTAAGCCTCACGTGTCCTCATGCAAAGTCACAGCATAATTAGCCCTGAACACGGTCCTCTCTGTTGTAAACATCCACTTCTGTGAGGGTTTGGTTACGCACAGGGGACTAGTATCACAGACACCGGGCCCAGCCCCCACCTCAGAAAATAAACTTCTGAGATGGGAGAAACGCACAAACTCACCAAAGATGTAGAAGACGTACGGCCACCCGAGGGTCTCGCAGAGGAAGCCACCGACAAGGAGGACGGTCAAGGAGCCCAGCATGAGCCCTAAACACAAGCGGTGGCGATGTCCGGGGTGAGAGGTCAGGCTCGGGACTCTGCGTGCCTCCTACAGACTGACCTGGTCCCAACGCCGAGAGGCACAGGGTGGACGCCATGAGGGGCAACTCCTGCCTCTTCGCTCAGTAGCCACGTGACCCTGGCCAAGTTACTCGTCTATTTGTGCCTCATTGGGCCTTGCGTGCAAAATGAAAATAACGTGTTTTAAGATAAAGTAACAAGTGCAAAGCACTTGCAAGCGTTTTTCTGCCCAGTAAGTGTGCACTTATAATCAAGAAGATAGTATAGTCCTAGCCGGTGTGGTTGAGTGTCGACCTGTGAACTAGGAGGTCACGGTTCTATTCCCGTTCTGGGCACATGCTCGGGGTGCGGGCTCCATCCCCAGTAGGGGGCGTGCAGGAGGCAGCTGATCAATGATTCATCATTGATGTTTCTAACTCTCTTTCCCTCTCCCTTCCTCTCTGAAATCAATAAAAATATTTTTTGAGAAAGAAATAAAAAGAGTAGGGCAGTGCTTTCAAGCAAGGAGGCAGAGGAGGTGGGAGAAGGTGTGGCTTCTGGTGCCAGGCCCTTGCCTGGTGCTCTGGACGGTGCCTGTCAGGTGCCCCTGAGGCATCACCTACCTGAGATGGAAATGGTGATGAGCTGGTTCCTCTCCAAGGGGGGAGCCCATTTCACCCAAATTAAATACTGGCTGGTTTGTATCATCACCTGTGGGGGCAGGGGGATGTTCCACTCTTGGTCATCTGAAACATTTCACTTTTTAAATATATTTTTATTGATTTCAGAGAGGAAGGGAGAGGGAAAGAAACATCACTGATGAGAGAGAATCCCTGACCAGCTGCCTCCTGCACACCCCCTACTGGGAATCGAGCCCACAGCCCAGGAGTGTGCCCTTGGCTGGAATCGAACCCGACACCCTTCGGTCTGCAGGCCAATGCTCTACCCACCCAGCCAAACCAGCCAGGGCTTCTGAGACATTCTAGAATCATACTCCACTCAGACTGAGACGGCCTCGCGGTACCTGGGCCACGCCTTGGACGGTCCGGAGGACGATGAGCAGGGCCACACCTGCCTCGGCCGCCAGCGGGATGAAGAGGCTCAGGGCGGAGACGGTCAACAGGGCGGCGCCGATCAGGTGCCGGGGCCGGACTAGCCCGGCCACGTAGCCACTGGGGACCGAGGCCACGAAGGAGCCGTAGCTGAGGGAGCTGAGGAGGACCCCCTGGATCTCGGGGCTCCAGGCATACACGGGCGCCTGGGTGACAAGGAGAACCTTGCTGTTTATTCTTTGGTGAGAGAGCTGAATATTTCTTTAAATATATTTTTATTGATTTCAGAGAGAAAGGGAGAGGGAGAGAGATAAAAACATCAATGATGAGAGAGAATCATGGATGGGCTGCCTCCTGCACGGCCCCCACTGGGGATCCAGCCTGCAACCAGGCCTGTGCCCTGACCGGGAATGGAACCATGATTTCTGGTTCATAGGTTGATGCTCAACCACTGAGCCACGCCGGCCGAACTCAATAAATAACCCAAAGGGAGAGGGAGAGAGATAAAAACATCAATGATGACCCCCTGACCGGGAATGGAACCATGATTTCTGGTTCAACCATAAAATTATTGTCGTTGCTACTTCATCACTGTAATTTTGCTACTGTTATGAATCATAATGTAAATATCTGAGATGCAGGATGTATTTTCATTGTTACAAATTGAACATAATTAAAGCATAGTGAATAATCACAAAAACAATATGTAATTATCTATGTGTTTTCCAATGGTCTTAGGTGACCCCTGTGAAAGGGTCGTTCGAACCCCAAAGGGGTCGCGACCCACAGGTTGAGAACCGCTGCTTTAGATCAAGCCATTGAAGCCACAGAAAGGGTCGCGTCTCCTTAAACATACCAGCACCTTAAGTCCCATCAGAGTTCCGTTCCTGTCGCCCAGGGTGACGGAGGAAGAGGCGTTGGGTGGGGCCGTGCCGTTCACCATCGCTGGGAGGGCGATGCTCAAGTTCATTTGTTGGGTGGAAATCGCAAAGTTACAGAGATGCAAGAGGAGGGCCAGCCCGTGTCGGACCGAACACACGCCTGCGACGAGAGGGCACAGAAGGCCTTGTCACCGGGGTCCGTTTCTCTCTGCACCCCCTCTCCTACGTCTGGAAGGGGGAGGCGGTGGCAGTCGGTCTGTGAGCAGCAGCACAGGGAGAGCAGAGTGGCTGTGTCAGGCAGACACCTGTCCCCCGGGAGGGGCGGGGTTCACACCCCCTCAGAACCCAGACCGAAGGGGAAGGGAGCGCCTGTCGTCACGCTGAGGCAGGTCTGGGTCGAATCCGAGCAGAGACCTGCGGCCATGCCTCCTGGACTTAGAATCAGAGACGCTGAGGTTGATTCCAGATCTTCTATTTGGCATCTGCCCTGACTTCCTGCCTTGGCGACAAATCGCGCCTGGACACCTGCGTTATGTCCTTCAAGTTTATTGCACGACATGAAATAATTCTCAGTAAACATTCTTTATAGCTTATAGAATTCGTGGCAATTGGTGGGAGCAAGGAGATGCTACAGACCCCCAGAAAGGAGCTGAGGTCACCGGGTCCTGGTTTTATCCACAACCAGCGCACGCCCTTACCTTTGCTGGAGGCTGGCGCTGGGGCCGTGATTCCGTCACTGCCGCTGGCCGGCTCCCCTGTGGTGGCCGTGGTTTCTGCTGTAGTGGACATGGCGTCCCTCCTCTCCCGGGGCCTGGGGTTCACCTGCGGGAATTAAAGGACACACGAGCAAATAGAAAGAAGCATCCTATAGTGCACAGGACACTTCCCTGGTTCTCCTAAGAATATAGAAGAAATGTTTGGTGGGAAAATGCCAGGTTAGGGTTCAGGAGACCTGGTGTGCCTGGGAAGGTCAAGGCCTGGGGTCCCAGTTTCTGTGTCTGGAATGAGGGATCTGGCCTGGAGTGCCTGGAGGGTTGTAATTTTCTTCCCATTCAGGGTCTCCTTGTCTCTCAATTGATATCAGTAAGCACTGGATGTTAACTTAACAGTCATTTTTTTAAATGTTTTTATTGATTTTAGGGATAGAGAGGGAGACAGAAACATCAATCACTGCCTCCGCAGGCCCCCTAGTGGGGATCAACCCACAACCCAAGCATGTGTCCGGACCCGGAATCGAACCAGAGACCTCGCTGTGCACCGGACAACGTCCAACCCACTGAACCACATCATTCAGGGCTTGACCATCTTCTGCGGAATTTCACCCAGAAGATTCCAATGGGTTAAATGACCTGAAACACTGTTTTCAGTGTCTAGACTTCCTGAGTCAAATAGAAGACACCGCGCTCTTAAGCCCCGTGATATCCCCACGGATGTCACGGAGAGTTAGAGGCGTCAGCTGGCTTTTCCCTGAGTCTGGCCTGGGGTGGGTGCTGTGGCTGTAACATGAGGTTATCTGGAGGCTGACGATAACCGGTGGGGGGTTCCCTCTGAAAATGACCAGAGGGTTGTTCCGGCAGATTTGTTCCCTGGAGTCCTGGGGCTCTCGCTTCTTTCAGGAAAAGGCCACCTCCTCTCTCACTTTCTGGAATTATCTCAGGAGAGACGAGCTGTTCCCCACCCGCACAATCTCTATCCCTGACCAGCAAGGTAAGCTGCTCCTGGGGCAAGACCCAGTCCCCGAACGCAAAGGCAGAGCAGTTAAGGGCAAAAGACCCAAGGCTGACCTGAGGGAGGCAGAGTGCAGGGTCCTCATTCCTTTCAAGTGAGTGTCTCTCAGCTTCGCACTTTTTTGACTCCCCAAGAAGTAAATGATTATCCCAAACCTTTAGCCCTTCGGTTGTGAAATGGGCAGATTTGACTGGCTCTGAGGCTTAATGTTTGACTTTGCTGCTTTCGTCTAATTAACAAGTCGACCAAGCTCATTAAATCTCCCTCCTGCTTCACGCCCAGGGGATCAAGGTCCCTTCTTATCGGACAGACACCTGCACTCCCTGCTGACAGCTGTCCCGGGTCAGTCTGTCCGTGGGAAAGGCCTTCCTGCCGCCAGGACTGCCGTCGAGCGGCTCCCGGGACCGCGAGCTCCACCCGCCCAGTGTCTCACACACTAGAGTGGACGGCCTGAGGCTCGTTGTCCCAGCCAGGCTAGTTCCAGCGTCCTGTTGGGTTAGTTTGGTCAATTCCACTCTTTAGTCGGTTTTTTAAAATATTTTTATTGACTTCAGAAAGGAAAAGGGAGACAAACACCAATGACGAGAATCATTATCATCGGCCTCCTACACCCCCACCCCCACCAGGAATCGAGTCCGCAACCCGGGCACGTGCCCTTGACCCGGAATCAAACCCGGGACCCTTCCGTCTGCGGCCGACGCTCTACCCAGAGCGAGACCGGCCAGGGCTTGTCAGTCACTGTCTCGCCTCAGCTCCTTCTGCCCCTGTGAGTGGCTCTGAAAAGAGCCTTTGGTTTCTGAGCTTTTCCTCTCCCGGGATGCAGGTCACTTCCGCTGGCCTTTCTGGTAGTAGCTCTCGGTCTTCTTGGGCAGCAGCACGGCCTGGATGTTGGGCAGCACGCCGCCCTGCGCGATGGTGACCTTGCCCAGCAGCTTGCTGAGCTCCTCGTCGTTGCGGACGGCCAGCTGCAGGTGGCGCGGGGCGATGCGGGTCTTCTTGTTGTGGCGGGCCGCGTTGGCCGCCAGCTCCAGGATCTCGGCCGCCAGGTACTCCAGCACCGCCGTCAAATACACTGATGCGCCGGCGCCGATGCGCTCCGCGTAGTTGCCGTTATGCAGCAGGCGGTGCACGCGGCCCACGGGGAACTGCAGCTGAGCCCTGAAAGAGCGAGATACAGCCTTGGCGCGAGACTTGCCGCCCTGCTTTCCCAACCCAGACATGATGCTGGATATGTCCGGCGCTATGGAAAAGACACCCTCAGGGCAAATGCAGGGCCAATTTATAGTCTGCCGTAGGTTGTGACTTGCCATCTGATTGGCTGACTGGCGGATGCTTATCCAATCAGAAAGCCGTACTGAAATCACCTCATTTGCATACACGTCACTGCCATTATCCAATCAGATGGGGCTGCCCAGCGGTCAGTTGAAGGCCACCCTATAAATACCAGGCTTTGGGCCACCAACCGCTGTTCACTGACTTGTGTCAGTTGGAGTGTGAAGCTGAGCACGCACCATGCCGGAGCTGGCTTCGAAGGGCGCCACTATTTCCAAGAAGGGCTTTAAGAAGGCCGTGACCAAGACCCAGAAGAAAGAGGGCAAGAAGCGCAAGAGGTGCCGCAAGGAGAGCTACTCGATTTACATCTACAAGGTGCTCAAGCAGGTGCACCCCGACACCGGCATCTCGTCCAAGGCCATGAGCATCATGAACTCGTTTGTCAATGACATTTTTGAGCGCCTCTCTGCTGAGGCGTCGCGCCTGGCGCATTACAACAAGCGCTCGACCATCACCTCTCGCGAGATCCAGACGGCCGTGCGCCTGCTGCTGCCCGGCGAGCTGGCCAAGCACGCCGTGTCCGAGGGCACCAAGGCCGTCACCAAGTACACCAGCTCCAAATAAAAGGATTTGGCCACCAGATGACCTTTTTAACTCAAAGGCTCTTTTAAGAGCCACGTATGTTTCCTGAAAAGAGCTGTCTTGCTATCTAGCTAAACATATTGGTAGTCTGGCCATGGACTAGTAAGATGTGTTTTTCTGGGCATTGTCTGCCTATAGGGGATAGGCATTGATACTTTGCCCCAAATGGGAACCACAAATATAGCAATTTTTTACCAGCTAAACTAGCCATTGAATGGTATACAACTAAAAACCTTACAGCCCTAGAAAGTGTTATAGCAATTTTTTACCAGCTAAACTAGCCATTGAATGGTATACAACTAAAAACCTTACAGCCCTTTAGAAAGTGTAAGTGGCTCTTAAAAGAGCCTTTGGGTTTGACAGGGGCTGAGCACCTCACTTGGAGCTGGTGTACTTGGTGACGGCCTTGGTGCCCTCGGACACGGCGTGCTTGGCCAGCTCCCCGGGCAGCAGCAGGCGCACGGCCGTCTGTATCTCGCGGGACGTGATGGTCGAGCGCTTGTTATAATGCGCCAGGCGCGACGCCTCAGCAGAGAGGCGCTCAAAAATGTCATTGACAAACGAGTTCATGATGCTCATGGCCTTGGACGAGATGCCGGTGTCGGGGTGCACCTGCTTGAGCACCTTGTAGATGTAAATCGAGTAGCTCTCCTTGCGGCACCTCTTGCGCTTCTTGCCCTCTTTCTTCTGGGTCTTGGTCACGGCCTTCTTAAAGCCCTTCTTGGAAATAGTGGCGCCTTTCGAAGCCAGCTCCGGCATGGTGCGTGCTCAGCTTCACACTCCAACTGACACAAGTCAGTGAACAGCGGTTGGTGGCCCAAAGCCTGGTATTTATAGGGTGGCCTTCAACTGACCGCTGGGCAGCCCCATCTGATTGGATAATGGCAGTGACGTGTATGCAAATGAGGTGATTTCAGTACTGCTTTCTGATTGGATAAGCATCCGCCAGTCAGCCAATCAGATGGCAAGTCACAACCTACGGCAGACTATAAATAGGCCCTCTGTGGCGTGTTTTGGTTAGATTTCCCCTTGTTGCTACTACCATCTCAAGTTATGTCTGGGCGCGGCAAGCAGGGCGGCAAGGCCCGCGCCAAGGCCAGATCTCGCTCCTTTAGAGCCCAACTGCAGTTCCCCGTGGGCCGAATCCACCGCCTGCTCCGCAAGGGCCACTACGCCGAGCGCATTGGGGCGGGCGCGCCCGTGTACCTGGCGGCCGTGCTGGAGTACCTGACGGCCGAAATCTTAGAATTAGCAGGAAACGCGTCCCGCGACAACAAGAAGACGCGCATCATCCCGCGCCACCTGCAGCTGGCCATCCGCAACGACGAGGAGCTCAACAGGCTACTGGGCGGTGTGACCATCGCGCAGGGCGGCGTGCTGCCCAACATCCAACCCGTGCTGCTGCCCAAGAAGACCGAGAGCCACCACAAGGCCAAGGGCAAGTGAGGAACCTAAACGTCTAGAGAGAAAGAAACCAAAGGCTCTTTTCAGAGCCACTCAGATCCTCAGTAAAGGCTGTCACAGCGCAGAAAGCTGGGCTTGTGTGGTTCTCTGGCGAGCTTCTTAGGAAACAGCACCTGGAGACGACCTTTGGTTCTAATAGCGGGTCCTTTCACACTAAGGCTGGAAAGCAGAGGCTCCTGGGAGCTGGCAGCCGCCAGCTTAGCTACTGGAGCCCTTGGGAGAAGGAACAAACGTCCTCTAGCGCTCTAACACCCCGTTCCTGAGCAGATGTGAGCAGAGACCTTACATTAAGGCTCAGGTAAATAGAGCTAAGGGATGGGTTAGAATAAACAATGTTGTAGCTTCCAGGTTAGCTTGTGGCAGTCTACAGGACGAAAGTCAATCTAACAAGGCTGCGTCCCTCCAAACGTGCTAGTACCATTCCTATGAGATCTTTAGACAGCAGTAAGCCAGGAGTCAGCAAGTCAGTCTCACCATCTGGTAAAGGGGTCAGTGTATTTAATGATTGACTTCACACACGTGCTTAGTAAATGAATTTTCTTAAAATGTAAAGCAAAATGTATCTCAAAAATGAGCTTGATGCCACATGTGATGGAGAGAATCTAGTCATCCTCAGAGGCTGGAATGTGGCACATTCTTCCATCATAACTTTCTGAAATTATTAGGGAATTTTGGTCCTTTTCAGAAGTTTTAACTACAAAGAAGAGACATTTTTAGTTTGTTTCCACTGCAAATACCAAGTCAAATTGGAAAGTAAATGAACACTTAGGCTGTCAAATAAAAAATTACTGTACAGCATTCAAGTTTAGCTGATCTCCAAGAAAAAGAATCTAATTGGTTAGCTAAAAAAACATATTGCTGGACACTCTACACAGACATGTATAGAAGCAGGTGTGAGGAAGGTTTAAAGTCCTATAAAGTTAAAGAGAATAAACTATATAATATGTTAATTAGGGGCAATCAAGTATGAAATTATCTCTTGAATTAATGTACATAAGTATTAAGGCATACAACTGGGGGAGGCACAAAGGAAGGAAAAATTTAGAAGATAAAACTTGCACAGATATTGGAACAAATTAGATGTTTAGAACATTGCCAATAACTTTAAACTGTGACATTTTAAAATCAGAATAATGATAGAAATGACTGAGCGAGTAGGGATATGTGAAAATTTTCCTAAACAAGAATTTCAAAAATGTCATCTAGATGCTCCCCATCAAGCAAGGTAGCTTAACGCCCAGACTGGCCGAAGCACAGAGTGTGGACAGGGGAGAGAGGGCGTGACTTCACAATGAGAAACCTGGGACACACCTGTTAACAGGTTCAGGCTTGAAAGTGAAACCAGCTCTGGCTGGCGTGGCTCAGTGGGTGGAGCGCCCTTGTCCCCTGCACTGAGGTGACTGGTTCGGTTCTGGTAAGAACACACATGCCCCGGTTGCCCAGAGGGGGCGCACAGGAGGCAGCCAATGGATGTTTCTCTCTCCCTCTCCCTCCTCCCCTAAAAAAATAAAAACATTTTTTTAAGTTAAACAACAAAAGTTATTGCACAGCGACTGAGTTTACTCGGGAATAGCAGAGGAACTGCAATTCTGAACAAGCAAAACATGGCGACCCCAGGCCAGTATGGAGGACCAAGGAGAGGAGCTGCCACAGAAGAGGAGGAGGTGGGGGGTGACAGAAGCTTCTCACGGGCCCCTAAGCCGACGGGAGGTTGTTTCCCCACAGTCTCCCCGGGTGTCTGGTGAGCTCCTTCTTCATCCCGACTTTGCACGCAGTGTAGAGAAGTTAGGTCGCACAGCTCGTGGCGTGGCAGGGCCCACGGGAGAACCCAGCTCACTCAGGGCGGGAGGTCGCCGGCAGGGGCTGTGGTGCGTCTCCTGGTCTTGTGAACAGTCGACCTGAATAAAGTCCCTCTTTTTTTTTTTTAAAGTATATTTTTACTGATTTCAGAGAGGAAGGGAGAGGGAGAGAGATAGACACATCCATGATAAGAGAGAATCATAGATGGGATGCCTCCTGCACGGCCCACACTGGGGATCCAGCCCGAAACCCGGGCCTGTGCCCTGACCGGGAATCCAACCGTGACCTCCTGGCTCATAGGTTGACGCTCAACCCCTGAGCCAGGCTGGCCGGGGCTGAAGTCCCTCCTCGTGCCACACTCAGGGCACCTGAGAACAGGAAGGACGGCCGGGGTGCTCCCACCAGGGCCTTGCCCTCCCCCCGCCTCCAGGTAGAGGAGCAGTGGGGCTGTCAAACCATCACAGACACTGCAAGGGCCACAACACAGACGCAGTCAGCAGCGCACGTCCGTTTGCAGCTGCAGGTTTATTTCCAGGTCAGAGTCGAGTTGCAGACAGCACAGCGGGCACAGCGGGCAGACGCGGCAGAAGGTCACGGGAGGGCACAGAGCACAGGGTGGGTGCGCTGCCCCTGCCCCATCACTGCGGGGGGATGACAGGGTTCACAGAGGCTTGGGGGGAGGGGAGGACCCTGCAAGGGGGAGGGAGGTTTGAAAATCACCGAGTCATTGGAAACGGGCCCACGTCCTTCACGACAAATCCCACACCGTCCGCTACAGAGTTCGCTCGCGGTGCCCCCGACAGCGAAGCACAGATACCAGCCGAACGCCAAGCGCAGAGCAGAGCCGCCTGCGGGTCAGGGGCTGCTCCTCAGCCCGAGACACAGACCCAGCTCCGCCTTCTGGATCTTCCCGTCCTGGTTCGCGTCGCAGTGACGCAGAAGGCTCTCCCGGAGCCTCTCCAGGTCGGCCCCGCGGACGCTGGGCTGAGGACAGAAAGGACCCGTCCACAGGCGAGACAGTGGCCGCCCTTGGAGGCCCCCTCCCTGCGGCTCACCAGCTCGGGGACCCCTGCTCCTGAGAGGCCCCCCCGGGGAGCAACGCCCCTCCTCATCCCACCAGGGTGGCCGAGGGCCGCTCCTCCCTCAGCACGTCCCTAAAGGCCGGAGGACTCTGTCCCCAGGGCAGTGCTCACAGAAAGCCTGCCTTCGCCCGCCCCTGTGGCTCAGTGGTTGAGTGTCGACCTAGGAACCAGGAGGACATGGTGTGATTCCCGGTCAGGGCACAGGTCCGGGCTGCAGGCTCCATCCCCGGTGTGGGGTGTGCAGGAGGCAGCCGGTCCATGATTCTCTCTCATCATGGATGTTTCTCCCTCTCCCTCTCCCTTCCTCTCTGAAGTCAGTAAAAATATATTTAAAAATAAATAAATGCAGCTGTCACAAATGCGTGGCACTGTGCTCCTTCGGTGAAATCGACGACTCCTAAATGAGGCAGCGACCTACAGGGGCTCCGCTTGACTGAAACCACCACCGGCCTTGAGAGAGGAGACTGTGGGTCCCACAGGAGCTCAGACGTCCTCGACGTCCCTTCAGCCTTCATCTCCCAGCCCCGGTTCCCAACACAAACAACGGAGGGGCCAGACGGCGGCCCCAGTGCATGATGGGCCCACCGGCTGGCGAGGTCACCTGCACAAGCTCCATCATGTCTTTCACAAACCCGTCCACCTCAGGGCCTTCCAGGGCTCCAGTTTTACTCTGAAAGGGAAGAGATTCCATCACGAAGTATCATTTCCTTCCAGCGAAAAGCTGAAGAACAAATCAGGCAACTAGACCACCTCAGCGTGCTCTGGGGACTGCACACAGGTTCAGAAATGGCATGTTCCTGTCTGGCCCGCGTGGCTCAGTGGTTGAGCGTCAACCTATGAACCAGGAGGTCACAGTTCGATTCCCGGTCGGGGCACAGGCCCAGGTTGTGGGCTCCATCCCCAGTGGGGGGCGTGCAGGAGCAGCTGATCCGTGAATCTCTCATCATTGTTTCTATCTCTATCTCCCCTCTCTGAAATCAATAAAAATATATTTAAAAAAATAAAAGAAAGGAAGGAAGGAATGGCGTGTTCCAGCTTATGTTCTCTGAGGGTGTGAATGCTCCACGGAAATTAAAAGAATTCATTGTAAATTACCCCGCCTCCCGCCTCCCCTGTAACAACATGGGAAGCAGTAGCTCTGAGCCCTTGGCTCCTGCCAACACCATTAACGTGAGAAACGCTTCCCAACTGGCTTCGCAAACAGGCTTCCGGGAACAGGCGTTACTTGGGGGCCCTGTGAATCCTTTGAGAGCCAGGCGGACATGTTAGGTCCGCTCTGTGATTGGCCAATGACTTGGTCATTATGCAAATATATCTTTTAAATCAAGAGGAACTCGATGGAGTGAGCATGTTGGAATTATTGTGGTCTGTACGTGAGACTTTTCGATTTATGAGAACGTCTATAAAATGCGACATACGTTGAAATATTTCCGTTTCTTCGCTAAAGTTCCAGTTATGACAATGCATCTAATCTTTTCAAAGTTCCTTTATCCTGAATCTTTAACCTCACATTTAACACACATCTGTTCCCTGGGGTATTGGCCAAGCACTCACCCAGCGGTTATAACATGCCAGGCACGTTTTCTCAGAGCCTCGTCCACACGGGTTCAGTGATTCTCACAACAGCCCAAGGGGCAGGCATTGCGAGCCTCGTCCCCCTGGTTATACGGATCAGGGAACTGGGCCCAGGGAGGTCAGGGAGCCCGCCTGAGGTCACAGGGCTAAGCCCGGGTCCACGCCCAGGGAGCTGGTCCCGAGGCTGCGCACGGCCACCCTGTGCTGCCCACCTCCACCAGGTGCCTCTTCTGTGCTCAGAATCTGAGTCCCAGGGGTCCAGTCTGGCCTGTCTCTGGAGCGTCTCTTAGACCTTCCCCAGCGTCGGCCTTGCTTTCCTCCCTTCTTGCATGTCCTTGCCTTGTCCTCAAGACACTCAATCTCTATGCCACACGTTGTGCTTTAGAGTTATTACCCCGCTCCCCCACAAAAAGACCAAATAGCAGCCCTGGCAAGTGTGGATCAGTGGTTAGAGCATCGGCCTGTGGACCAAAGGGTCCCGGGGTCAATTCCAGTCAAGGGCATGTCCCTGGGTTGCAGGCTCCTCCCCGGCCCAGGCCCTGGTCGGGGCACATGCAGGAGGAAACCAATCTACAATGTATCTCTCACATCGATGTTTCTCTCTGTCTTTCCCTCTCCCTTCCACTCTCCCTAAAAATCAATGGAAAATTATCCTCGGGTGAGGATTAACAACAAAAACAAAAAGACCAAATAATGAACCCTATCAGAGAAGTCGTTTTTAAGAAAAAGTAGGTCTGACTTTGCCTGTTTCTATGGGCTTGATGCCGGGTTTTCTTAATTTGATTGTTAGCTTTTGAGCATACTGGTCTAGGTTGGATCCAAAGAGGGAAAAAATGTTGATTTTTATTCTCTCGCAACCATAAATATTCCTTTGCCCACTTTCACTTGGTTCTCGGAAGTTACCTGGAGAAGCTGAGGGTACCCTGACGCAGCGACACCCAGGTGGGTGCTACTCATCCTCTAAGGTGAGGATGGCCCCACGCGGAGATGGCTGGCCCCACGCGAGGCGTCGCACTTACCACGTCCTGGTGGGCGAGGATCTGCTCAAAGTCCCGCGTCCGCTCTTCCGTGAGCAGGCCTGTGCGCGGAGAAGACGGGGTCAGCTCGGCAACGGCACGTCCATCGTACTCTTTCTTCCAGGGTCTTGGACAGTTTTACACACTTTGAGTCGATGACCTCTTATCCCTTGAGCAGTGGTTCTCAACCTTCTGGCCCTTTAATACAGTTCCTCATGTTGTGGTGACCCCCAACCATAAAATTATTTTCGTTGCTACTTCATAACTGTCATGTTGCTACTGTTATGAATCGTCATGTAAATATCTGATATGCAGGATGGTCTTAGGCGCCCCCTGTGAAAGGGTCGTTCGACCGCCAAAGGGGTCGCGACCCACAGGTTGAGAACTGCTGCCCTTGATTCTCACTCAGCCTTGTCAGCCTCCAGATACGTTTAAGACAAGACGATGCCTTCCTTTCTCCCTCCTCCCTCTCAAATCTCCCGTGAACCACGCATGCCAGAAACCCGTCCAGAGAAATGTCCCTACTCACGTCCATTTTAAACTGAAGAAGAAAGTTTTCCTGAAGAGCCAGAATCCTAAATGGAAAAAAAAACACATAATTGACATGAGGATCTATCAACGCTCAGTTAAAGCAAATTCGTAACCCGGATGCGAGGAAGGGGCAGGCAATTTCCAGATTTTTCTGCAGGTGGATGGGTGCTTAGAAAATAAGAATTTATAGGCTATACAAACAAAGACAGACATTACTTGGGAAAGACTTTCATAGGGATTAGGAGTCATCAGAGAGACACTTTTAAAAATTTATCTTGGTGACCCAGCCAGCATGCGTCGGCCTGCGGACTGAAGCGTCCCAGGTTTGATTCCCGGTCAGGGCACAGGCCCGGGTTGCAGGCTCCAGCCCCAGTGTGGGGTGTGCAGGAGGCAGCCGGTCAATAGTTCTCTCTCAGCATTGATGTTTCTGTCTCTCTCTCCTTCTCCTTTCCTCTCTGAAATAAATAAAAAAATATTTTAAAAAAATTTATCTTGGTGGAAAATGGCACAATACCAGGTTATGAAAATTCTCTCCTCCATGAAAGCAACAAGAAAACTAGCAAAAAAAAAAAAAAACTTTTTCAAAACTCTGGAAATTAACCAAAGGCTTAAACATTGTATGAGAAGGTCGTGCATTGTGGTCTGGGGAGAAGAGCTTGCGGGATCTTCGCGAAGAGAAGGGCTTGGGGGAGACCTGACCTCTGCCTCCCACCAAGAAGGGTGTGCGGTCCCCACCCCCTCGGACGCTGACCCCTCGGACGCTGACCCTGCACAGACGACACGGCCACCAGCTGCTCACCTGGCCAGGTCACTGAGACCCAACTGGCCGTCTTTGTTTTTGTCGAAGAGCTTCATCTGGAGCAGAGGGGACGCGGTGGCGAGGGCATGAGTCAGGGACACTCACTCTGGCAGCCACTAAGGTGCCCTCCTCTCTGCCCCCCGAGGCTCACACCCTTGAGCACCCCTCGTCCCCCGAACATAAACTCAACAGCAACAGTCTGACAGCCACACGCTTTGCTACAGCTCGGGCGTGGGTGACCTTCTCAGACACTCTCATCACAGGAGGTTTGATTCTAACCGAGAGCTCCATTCAACTGAGCTTTTTTAAAAATATACTTTTTATTTATTTAAGAGAAGAAGGGAGAGGGAGAGAGAGAGAAACATCCATGATGAGAGAGATGTGAGCACCGAGTCTGTTTGCAGGGTCAGAGCACGCATTTCCGATGGCTTGTTTGTGGTTAATTATTAACAAAGACAAAGCAGGTGTCAGGGAGCCCCATGTTCTTCTCGGTAGTTTTGGGGGGAAAGGGGGGAGGGGACAGCGTCTTTTTGAAAGTCAATCAGATTCCTCCTCCTTTGAGAGAGCGGGGGTTCCACAGCCTGTCACTCAGCAACACTGAGCACATGGAGGGGAGCCCCCACCTCAAGTACACATGACACTGTGATCGTATATACATGGTCTCTTCCTCACACACACACACACTCACACACACACACACACAC